TGGGAGGCTAAGGTGAGTGGATTGCCTGAGCCCGCAGGTTCGAGACCTGCTCTGGGCAACTTGGCGAGACCTCATCTCTACAATAAACAAATAAAAAAATTAACCAGGCGTGGTAGTGCGCGCTTGTAGTTCCAGCTACTTGGAAGGCTAAGGTGGAAGGATTGCTGGAGCCCAACTGGTCAACGCTGGGGTGGTTGTGAGCGTGCCACTGCCTTCCAGCCTGGGCAATGGAGTGAGACTCCAACTCAAAAAAAATCCAACAACAACAATAAAAACCCCCCAGAATTAGGAGAAAATGTAGGAGAAAATCTTCATGACTTTTAGATAACCTAAAAAAAGTTCATAATCTATAAAATAAGAAATAGATACAATGAACATTATCAAAGTTAAAAACTTTTGCTCTTCAAAAGACATCATTAAGAATAGGGAAAGACAAGCTATAGACTAGGAGACCGTATTTGCAAATTATCTGATACAGGGCTTGTATTCAGAATACATAAAGAAATTTTGACTGGGTGTGGCCAATAATTCCAACACTGGCAGTCTGAGATGAGAGGACTGCCTGAGCCCACGGGTTTGAGACTATCCTGGGCAACTTGGTAAGACCTCATCTCTACAGTTAAAAAAAAAAAAAATTAGCTGGGCATGGTGGTACATGCCTGTAGTTCCAGCTACTTGGAAGGCTGAGGTGGAAAGACCACCTGAGCTCAGCAGGTAGAGGCTACAGTGGCTGGGAGCATGCCACTGCCCTCCGGCCTGGGTGACAGAGTGAAACTCCAACTCAAAAAAGAAAATCTTGTAACTCAATGATAAAAGGTTGAATAATATAACTTTAAAAGGACAAAAAGTTTGAATAGACATTTCATCAAAAAAGATATATTCAGCCGGGCGCAGCAGCTCACACATATGATCCCAGCAGGCTGAGGTGAGAGGACTGCTTGAGCCCAGGAATTCAAGACCAACCTGGGCAACACAACAAGACACTGTACAAAAAAATTTTTAAAACAACAAAAAACAAAAAGATATATTAATGGCTAATAAGCGTATGAAAAGATGCTCAACAATATTAGTCATTAAGAAAATGCAAATAAAACCACAATGAGATACCAATATATGCCCAGTAGAATTATTTTAATAAAGATGGCAATACCAGGTGTTTGTAGGGATGTAGAGATATTGGAACCCTCTTACATTGCTGGTAGAAATGTAAAAACTTTCAGCCACTTTGGAGAAGTTTGCCAGTTTCTTTTTTCTTTTTTACTATGACATTTTACATAAAAGCAATTTCTCTTTTTTTTTTGAGTTGGAGTCTCATGGCCACTGTAGCCTCTACCTACTAGACTCTGGTGTTCCTACTACCTCAGCCTTCCAAGTAGCTGGAACTACAGGCACATGCCACCATGCCTGGCTAATTTTTGATTTATTGTAGAGATGAAGTCTCACTAAATTGCCCAGGCTGGTCTCAAACCCATGGGCTCAGGCAGTCCTTTCACCTTGACCTCCCAAAGTGCTGGGATTATAGATATGAGCCACCGCGCCCGGCCTTAGCAGTTTCTTTATTGTTTTGTTTTGTTTTTTGAAGTCAGAGTTTCACTTTGTCACCCAGGCTGGAGTGCAGTGGCACGCTCATGGCCACTGCAGCCTCAACCTGCTGGGATCAGGTGATCCTTCCACCTCAGCCTTCCAAGGAACTGGAACTACTGGCATGCGCCTCTTTGCTCCATTAATTTTTTTGATTTGTTGTAGAGACAAGGTCTCACCAAGTTGCCCAGGCTGGTCTTGAACCCTTGGGCTCAGGCAGTCCTCTTGCCTCTGCCTCTCAAAGTGCTGGAATTATAGACATAAGCTACTGCACCTGGCTAAAAGCAGTTTCTTTAAAATATTATACGTAGACTTAGATTTACTGTTCAACCATGCAGTAAGATTTCTAGGTTTCTCTCCGTGAGAAATTAATATGTATGTTTATTGAAAGACTTGTACATAAATGTTTATAGCAGCACTATTCATAACTTCCCCAAATTGGAAGCAGTCCAAATGTCCATCAGCTGGTGAATGGATAAGCCAAGTGTAATATATTGATATTATTCAGCAATAAAAAGAATGAACTTATGTTGCATGCTACATATGGATGAATATCAAATGAACATTATAATGAACATTTAATTCAATGATAATGATTCCTAATGGCAACATTTTTTTTCCTTTTTTTTGAGTTGGAGTATCACTCTGTCGCCCAGGTTGGAGTGCAGTGGCGGGCTCATGGTCACTGCAGCCTCAACCTGCTGGACTCAGGCAGTCCTTCCACTTCAGCCTTCCATATAACTAGAACTACAGGTGCATATCACCATGCTCAGCTAATTTTTCTTATTTATTGTAGACATGAGATCTGGCCAAGTTGCCCAGCCTGATCTTGAACCCCTTGAACTCGGGCAATTCTCTTGCCTCCGCCTTCCAAAGTGTTGGTATTATAGGCATGAGCCATTGTGCTCAGCTGACAGTGAACATTATTATTAAGTGAAAGAAGCCAGACACAAAAGAATACATTAAGCATGATTCCATTTAGATTAAATTTCCAGACATTGCAAACCTATAGAAACCAAAAGCAGGTTAATGCTTGTCTGGGACTGGAGGTGGGATGGGAGTTGACTGTCCAAGGGAGCTTTTTGTAGTGATAGAAATGTTTTAGAACTGGATCTTGGTAATGATAACTAATACAACTCTATAAATTAACTAAAAAATTATTGAATTGTATACTCCAAAATGGTGAATTATATAGCATGTAAATTATACCTAAATCTGTTAAAAAAAAGAATGTACATTGTATCAATCAATTCAATAAGGTAAGCAGACCCAGTAAGAGATTATATATATCTCATATATATTATGTCTCATATATATGTATGTGTATATGTGTGAATACATATATATATATACATGTATATCTGCGTGTGTGTGTATATGAATTATTACAAGCAAATGGCATTTGCAATTGTGGAGAACTGGGTAAGCAAGTTCAAGGTCTATAGGACAGGCTGTCTGTCAGGAAGAAATATCCATAGAGGGGAAAGCAATTGTCAACCCAGCTGCTGTGTGAAGTCTTACCAGGGCCTGCCTAACCTTTTTAAAAGAATGTCCATTAATTGAGTCAGGCCTATCTAGGATAATCTTCCTAGATTAATGTTAGTTTACCAGGAACTTAAATTATATCTGCAAAATCTCATAGTAGTACTAGATTGGTGTTTGACTGAATAACTGGAAGAAGATAGGTATATCATACATAAGATTGCTGCCTTCCCTTTAGTCCTTGTGTCTTAGCCTAACCAAATTGACATGCAAAAGACCATCTAATCTGTAATGGAATTAGAATTTTTTGTAACCATCATTTAATTACACAAGTATTTTGTTTTCTATAGATAGTTTGCTTTTACAAATTACCAGGAAGTTTTATTTGTTCATTCACTCAGTGACATTTTTCGAGCATCTACTGTGTGCCAGACACAATAACATTGTCTGTACTCTCATTAAAACGACCAAAAAAAGTTCTTTACATGGTGATTGGTACATAAAAGTTATTCAAATATTTGTTGAATGAATGTTCTGTTAACACACCAGCAGGGTGTATTCACCCCTCAGTTTTATTTAGCCACACAGTATTCATTAGGTTATTATCATTTAGATGGAGTATGCATGGTGCAACTTCACATAGCAAAATTGAACATTTCTCTCTCCCAGAATACTCAAAGTTTACATACCTTAGCCTGTTTGATTTTGCCAAGGGTTTCCTGAAAGTACTGTTTAAACAAATAGCAGATGTAGAAGCAAGATGAATTTTATTGCCGATTATTTACCATATTTACAGGAAGTCACTAGGGAATACTTGAAGACTTAATTCTGTCCTCTGAAAGTGGTACAGAAATCTATTTTCCAGTGGATCCAAATTTCCGTTCTTGCAGTTTTTCATAATTTGAAAATCCTGATTTCCTGGACCTCTTCCGAGGGAAGGCAGCTAGGTAACAAGTATCACCTACACTCCTTTAATTTTAGTAATGAATTATTGTTGTGATAGGTAATCCTAATCTGTCGCAGCTCAGCAACTGCCTCTCTAGGCAACCTTCATCCAGCCCCTCCAGTAGAGGCCTTGGACGGTTTCCATGGCGACGACTTTGTTTCTACCGGTCGGTAGGCGGTCGCTGCCCTCTAGCTACTCGGCTGGGAGCTGGTGGGATTTCGGAGGTTTTGTCCCCTCGTTATTCCCCTTCCTTCCACCAGGAGAGAAACTGTGAGTGTTTTTTTCTCGTTTTGGTGGCCAGGAAGTATTGAGAAACAACCAAACAGGTACTTGTTCTCTGCTTTTCTCTTCGTCTCCCTCGCAGGGCAGTTACCGCAATTTGGATGCCAGCCAAAGTACGCTCTTTCAAGGCAGGAATCTCCAAATCCTGCAGGCATTCACGGCAAAAGTAGTTGTTATTACAGTTAAATTGTTGAGCATTTACATGACATTTTATATTTGCTGCGCATTGTATCTACTTTTGCTTGATCATAGCATCACTTTCTAGAAGGTAGCAAGATTGATACAATATTGATGTTTAAAAATATTAATGATGTTAAATATCAGCTTTTTGGGTGTGGGAGATTATCCCTCAACAACTAGATTTGTTGTGGTGGTAATGGTGGTGGTGGTTTGCATCAAGGGAAAAATTTGAACCCAGAATTTTAGAACTGTGGGGCTATTTAGCGAGCATCTAATTTAATTCCTTACTTTGAACCGTTAGGAAACAGAAGCCCTAAAGAGGAAGTAACTGTCTCGCTTCTTCAAGGCAGGTGGACTGTAGAGCTAGCTCTAACAGGGATCCCTGCCCACTTACCTCAACTGCCATTCTTCAGACTAATAACCTATGCAGAAGGAAGATCCAAAGGTGTCTAGACTTTTATTTTTGTATTGATATGTTAGATATGTTATGAATGTATCAAGACTTGGTTTATGAACTTTTTCTCCTCAGAGTATCTTAATCTCTAGGGGACCAAGATGTCAGATCCAAACAAAGCTGCCATTGCAGCAGAAAAGGAGGCTCTGAACTTGAAGTTACCCCCTGTTGTCCATCCCCCAGAAAACATAGGTGTTGACACACCAGCACAAAGTAAGCTGTTAAACTACAGAAGATCCAAGGAACAGCAGAAGAAAATTAATCAGTTAGTGTAAGTAGCATATTAGTGAATAATTCTTGCTTGGAATTGAAGTGAAATTATTAGTATTCATATTCTCATAAAGAAAAGTTTACTATGCAGGTTCCTGTGTAAAATACTATCTTCAAGTTCATTAGAAAAACAACTGAAAAAGAATTGTAATGATAGCAAATATTATGCACTGCTTACTCTATCAGACATTGTTCTTAGCATTTTACCTGAACTTCTTACAACAACTTTATAAGGTAGGTACTATTGTTAGTTCAATTTTTTAGGTGAATAAACTGAGGTACAGAGAAGTTAAGTAACTTGCCTAGGGTCACACAATTGGGGTCTAGACCCAGTCAGTCTGGTTCTAAAGTTCGCATGCTTAAGCACCACACTATTTCTCCTCTCAGTACATACATATTATAATCATATTGGTCCCTGAAAGGAAAAACAAATATTTGGACCTCTTAAAAACAGCATTACTGGACAAATATGTAATAACATATCTTGAAACTACTTGTATTTGAATTTTTTCTTTCTATACAAAAGAAAACATGGTTCCACATTCAGCTCCTTTCTCCCCCTCCAATTTAGTGGAAATTAAAACTAAGTTATGTACCAACTACCAAAGGCTGTGATAAGGAAGATTCAGTTCAACTCAGCAGTTACTGAGAATTTCACCGGCACCTGACTCTGCTGGGCTCTGGGGTAAAAAGAAAAAGACATAGATCTCATTTTACAAAATTCTAATCCAACACTAATCTGTAAAATGGAAAATTTCTCTCTGGTGGATTTTGCTTTGCTTTCTACATTCTCTTTCTTGGTTGGCTTCATTATAAGCATTTTTATGCAGCTAACTAAGTTTTATAACTATATTGTTGATTATACTGTTGCAAATTTAATAATTTACATTTTTGCTAATTTTACTTTCCTTACAATTAAAAAGGTCTATTAATAATATAACTTCTCTAGATTTACATTTTTATTAGTCCACCAATCGTTTACTGATATTTAAATAAAAATTTATAAGGTATATTAACTAATATAAGTTCATGTACTATTAGCGATGTTTTACCCCTTTGTTCCATAAGGACATTACGTGGTGGAAATATTATATCAGTCAAAAAACTTGTAATGGGGCAACCCCTTCAGGTCTCCTCCCACTGTGGGAGCTTTTCTGTCCTCTTAATAAATCCTTTCTCAAAAAAAAAAAAAATCTGTAATGATTCTAAATTATATTACAAATATGACTGATGTGAATCATGTGGATCAGTTTACTTCTATATATTGTTTTTTGTGAAAATCTTTAAAGTGGTGGAGAAAATAATTCTCCTGGGGACTAGAAATATGTGTTATTAATTTCTATATACTGAGAATAAAAAAAAAAAACCAACAATGAAAAACCTGTATCCCATATTAATTTTGTCAAGCTTCTGATTGATTAGTTGAGAAGTGGTTTTCAGGAATCACGAGTGCATCCTTCCACATCTTCTTCAAACAACAGACTGGACAATAAATTATATATTAATGTGGGAGGAAGAAAACGAGATTGCCTTGTCTGCTTGAATAGAAAAATATCAGATGGACGATGTGTAACAAATTACTATTGCACAGTATGTGTCAATGAACCTACAATGCATGTCAGTGACTGTTTCACACATTACCACATGTTAGAAAAAATAAGATAAAATTTTGATTTTTATTGCCATAAATAAGTTCCTCAATATCTACAATTCCATTATAAGCCAAGTATCATGACAATAAAATGATTATTTCCAACACTATGCTATTTAATATAAAGTGATTTGTTTTTCACCACTTATTTATTTAATTTTAATTTTTTTCTTTTTTGAGTTGAAGTCTCACTCTGTTGCTCAGACTGGAGTACAGTGGCACACTCACGGCCACCACAGCCTCCACCTCCATCTGCTGGGCTCAGGCGAGTGTTCCACCTCAGCCTTCCAAGTAGCTGGAACTACAGGCACACTACCATGCTCAGCTAGTTTTTGATTTGTTGCAGAGGTGAGGTATCGACAAGTTGCCCAGGCTTGTCTTGAACCCCTGGACTTAGGCAGTCCTCTCACCTCGGTCTCCCAGAGTGCAGGGATTACAGGCTTGAGCCACCGTGCCCAGCCACCATTTTTTAAAGAAGTACAATTGAGTTGCTGGTAGGTGATCTTTGAGATGTCTCTGAGTGCAAAGGGTTTTTGTTTTGTGTTTTTTTTTTAGAGTTTCACTCTGTTACCCAGGCTGGAGTGCAATGGCATGATAATGGCTCACCTCAGCCTCAAACTCCTGTGCTCAAGAATCCTTTCTCCTTAGCCTCTCTAGTAACTGGGACTATGGGCACATGCCACCACACTTGGCTAACTTTTTAATTTTTTTGTAGAGGCGAGGTCTCGCTATGTTGCCCAGGCTGGTCTCCAACTCCTAGGCTCAGGTAATCCTCCTGCCTTGACCTTCCAAAGTACTAGGATTACAGGCCAGTACAGGATTACATGCCACCACCCCTGGCCTATTTAATTAATTATTTTTTGAGTTGGAGTCTCACTGTGTCACCCAGGCTGGAGTGCAATGGCCTCCACGGCCACTCACGGCCACCTCAGCGTCGACCTACTGGGCTCATGCAATCCTTCCACCTCACCCTTCCAAGTAGCTGGAACTACAGTAGTGGGCCGCCATGCCTAGCTAATTTTTTTCTGATATATTGTAGAGAAGAGGTCCGCCAAGTAGCCTGGGCTGGTCTCGAACCCGTGGGCTCGGGCAGTTCACTTGCCCCGGCCTCCGAACGTGCTGGGATTACAGGCTGAGCCACTGAGCCTGGCCTATTTACTTGTTTTTAATTGTTAGTATACAAAGCAAAAACAAAGTGAAAAACCTCACTCTTTCATTCTTCACATCTCTTTATAGCCAGTTGAAGAAAACATGCTCCAGAAATTGTTGCTTTATTTTTTAATTTTTATTATTTTTTTTGAGTTGGAGTCTCACTCTGTCGCCCAGACTGGAGTGCGGTGGCTGCTCCCGGCCACCGCAGCCTCGACCTGCTGGGCTCTGGCGATCCTTCCGCCTCAGCCTTCCAAGTAGCCAGAATTACAGGCATGCGCTACCACGCCCGGCTGATTTTTTGATTTATTGTAGAGATGAGGTCTCGCTGCCCAGGCGGGTCTCGAACCCGCAGGCTCAGGCAATCCACTCACCTCAGCCTCCCAAAGGCGCGGGATTACAGGCTGAGCCACCGAGCCCAGCTAAATTGTTGCTTTATTAAAGGGCAGCATTTATATATAAAGAACTCGAAGAAGTTAGGCATATTTGTGTTGAGATAATTACAGTGAAAGTCTGCTAACTAGCTAGTGCCAGCTAGCATGCCAAAATATAAGGCAAATTCCTTGAAAGTAGTAATCATTGATAAGAGCTGGATTGTTGAGGGGGATATGATGGATGAAGAGAAGTCAGGCCTGGGTCTTAAAGATTAGCAAAGAAAAGAAGAAGGAGGATATTCCAGGCACATTTTCTACTTCATGTAGAAAAAGTCTTAGGTATTTTAGTTTAGTGCAGGGTCAGTAAGATTCAACAGGGAAATAAGGCTACTCAGTAAGCTAATTTAGGCCAGATGAGGTGGCTCATGTCTATAATCCCAGCACTTTGAGGGACAAGGTGGGAGGATTGCTTGAGGCCAGGAGTTTGAGATGAGCCTGGTCAGCATACATAGACCCTGTCTCTACAAAACCCAGCCAGACGTGGCAGTGCTCAGCTATAGTCCCATCTACTTGGGAGGCTGAGGTGTGAGGATAGCCTGGGTGTATGAGACTGCAGTGAACTAGGATCATGCCACTGTACTCCAGCCTAGGTGGCAGAGCAAAACCCTGCTTAAAAACCAAACAAACAAACAAAAAAAACTAATTCAGTCTTATACTACTTTAATAAATGTAAAATGCCTAGAATATGAGAGAGAAAGTTTTCACACTGCTCAAATAACATTTGGAATTCTGAGATCACAGTTTAAGAGGGATTTTGAATGCTCACTTCAGTAGCACATATACAAAAATTGGAATAATACAGAGAAGATTAACATGGTCCCTGTACAAGAATGACATGCAAATTCATGAAGTATTTCCCTTTTTTTTAAAAAGGGACATTGATAAATCAGAATAGAGATACAGCTGTCGTATTCTGTTTTTTGTTGCTATAACTGGATGCCACAGACTGGGTAATTTACAAAGAATAGAGGTTTATTTAGTGCACGGTTATGAAGGCTGGGAAGTTCTAGAGCATGGTGCTGGCATCTGGTGAGGGCCTTCTTGCTGTTATAGCATGGAAGAAGGCATCACATGGTGAGAGGGCAGGAGAGCGAGAGAAAGCTTGCTTTTATAATGAAGCCACTCCCACGATAATGCACCCACTTCTCTTATAGCGATATTAATCCAGTCATGAGGGCAGAGCCCTTATTAATTCATTTATGAAGACAGAGGAATTAATTTTCCAACACATGAACTTTTGGGGGACATATTTAAATCCTAGCAAGAGAAGAGTGAGGACATTTGAAACTACATAGTTTGAAGAAATCTGATTCACTTAACTGGTGAGAGTATAGGCTCTAGCCTTAGTCAGGCCTGAATTCATATCTCATCTCTGCTGTTTATTAGCTGTGCAAATTTGACAAATTATGTAACTTATCTTCAAGTTGCTATCTATAAGATGGGGAAAAATAATGTTTACCTCTTAGGATTGTTGTGAGAGTTAAATGAGATCCATATATACAAAGATCTTAAGCTAATGCCTAGAACATAGTAAGATCACCATAAGCAGTAACTCGTTGACAGGAACAGGTGAAGGAACTGGATAGGTGTCATTTTGAAAGTATAACATGGAAGAACATTATGAATATTTTTTATATAGCTTCAGAGTATAAGTTATAAAGATAGCCATACACAGTGGCTCACACTTGTAATCCCAGCACTTTGGGAGGTAGAGGCGAGAAAATTGTATGAGCTTAGGGGTTTGAGACCAGCTGGGGCAACTTGGTGAGACCACTGTCTTGACAATAAATCAGAAAGAAAAAATTAGCTGGTCATGGTGGTGCATGCCTCTAGTTCCAGTTACTTGGAAGCCTGAGGCAGAAGGATCACCTGAGCCCAGCAGGCCAATGCTACGTTAACTGTGAGCATGCTACTCCACTCCAGCCTGGGTGACAGAGAGAGACTCTGATGCCAAAAAAAAAAAGAAGAAGAAGAAGAAGAAGAAACTACAAAAGATACAGCTCAATATAAGAAATTTGTTCCTGGCCAGGCTCGGTGGCTCAGCCTGTAATCCTGCGCTTTGGGAGACCGAGGTGAATTGCCTGAGCCCGCAGGTTCGAGACCCGCCTGGGCAACTTGGCAAGCCCTCATCTCTACAATAAACCAAAAAAATTAGCCAGGCATAGTAACACGCGCCTGTAGTTCCAGCTACTTGGAAGGCTGAGGTGGAAGGATCACCAGAGCCCAGCAGGTTGAGGCTGCGGTGGCCGGTGGCTGTAAGCAGCCACTGCACTCCAGTCTGGGTGACTGAGTGAGACTCCAACTCAAAAAAAAAGAAATTTGTTCCTAAGAATATGAGCTAGCTGACAGTAAATGGGGCTGCCTCAGAAAGTGATGACTGCTATTTCCCCTCCAACAATCTTCTAGAGTACCATGAAAACAAATTGATATTGTAGAAAGTATTCATGTATTGGCTAAGGTACAGTACTGACTAGACATGCAAGATCTTTTGCAAATCCACTATTCTGATCATTTGTTCAACAGATATTAATTAAGCTCCTACACCTCGATGGATACTTTTTTTTTTTTTTTTAGAAAGCAGGATTTATTGAGAAGACAGAGAAGCTCCCACAGTGGGAGGGGACCCGAAGGGGTTGCCTGATGGATACTTCTAAGTGGTGTGGATACAGCAGTGAGCAAAACACACCGTCCTTGTCTTTATGCAGTTTACCAGTCTATGGTTTTATGGCTCCTGTGGACACCCTTTTCTTGAAATTCCTGTTGGTTCTTCTCTTACCTCTCTGATAGCGTCTCTTTTGTTCCTTCAATTGTTTTTTCTCATTCCTGTCATACTTGACATCCTCTAGTCTTCTTTCTGAAGTCTTTTTTCTTTTCCTTGTATGCTTTCTTCATTGGGCATCTCTTCCAATGTGTGTAGCCTTTATAACCTGTTAGATTTGTCATCCTAAGAATATTTCCATGCTCAAAACCTCTCAGTAACTCCTCATTGACTTTTGAATTTAAAAAGTTTGCTGTTTGAGACCCTTAGCTGTCTATTTCAGTCTATCCCCCTTTGATACTTTCCTTGCCTTCTTGTTTCTCAGGGTCCTTTATCCCCCTTTTTTTCAGATCCCAGGAAAACCACATCTTCACCTGAAATTCTCTCTTTCATTTATAACTTGTTACAGATGCTAACATTTTAACGTGGCCTTTACAGATACTCTCAAGTAGAAGAGAACTTGTCCTTCCTCTGAACCACCAGGGTGCCCATATGGCATTCTGTTTTTTTTTCTTCTCACCTAATCAGTTTATGAATCTCTTGAGATTTTTTCCTGCTCTATTTTAATAACACCCAGCATTGTGACTTGCATAATGTAGTCATTCAGTAAATATGTGTTTACAATGAATAGATTATACAATAGGATAATACAACTTAAAGAGGAAATTATATTTTATGGATGAAAAAAATCCATAAAGAGTTTTGAAGGTAGAGTGTTTATTAAGCACCTCCTCTGTGACAGCTATTGTTCTAGGCATTGGGGATAACAGCAATGAATAAAACAGTCTACAAAATATACTATGTCAAAATGATAGTAAGTACTTTGAAGCAAGAAAAGTGAGGAATAAAGGAATGGGTAGTGAAGAAGGTGCTACTTAATACTAGGGGGAAGGGGATGTTTCTCTGACATGGTAGCAGGCATTTGTACGGAGATTATTCAAGTAAGGGCCAACTATGTATCTGGATTAATTTTTTTTTTTAAGTCAGGGTCTCACTTTGTCACCTAGGCTGGAGTGCAGTGGCATGATCATGGATCACCACAGCCTTGACCTCCTGGGCTCAGGCAGTCCTCTCTCTTCAGCCTCTTGAGTGGCTGGGAATACAAGTGTGCACCACCAAGCCTAGTTGTTGTTTTTTTTTTTATAGAGACAAAGTTTTGCTATGTTGCCCGGGCTGTTCTTGAACTCCTGGGTTCAAGCAATCCTTCAACCTTGGCCTCCCAAAGTGTTAGGATTATAGGCATGAGGCACTTTACCTGTCTAGGATTAATTTTTAAATTTTCAGTAAGTTATAATTGAAAAACATTGGTATTTATTTTTAGTCTCACCCTGTTACATTAAACATGAATAATTTTAAAATTAAGATCTCATTGATGATGTATTGGGATTTGTTTCTCATAAAAAATTAAAGTAACTCTCGAATATTTCTCAGTTGGAAAAATGCTCAAATTGTAATATTTTAATAACTTATGCTACCTTCAAGAGAGTCATACATTTTTCTAATATGCATTTCAGAATGGATGAAGCCAGAAGAAATTTAGACAGAACACTGGGTAAAAGAACACCTCAAGTACCAGAACCTGATTATCCTTCAACTGTAAGTTTATATTTTCTCCTTAAAAATGTTATCCTTATGCCATTTTAATTCTTAAGTCATTCTCAATATAATTAATATTTTAAAAAAGAATAGCAGATATATTTTAAACTATATCTTTACTTTTATTTATTTATTTTTGTTTTTAAAGAATTGCACAGCAGTTAGATTGGAAATATAGATAATTTAAAAAGTAAATTAGAGAGAAAGAAGAGAGTCACCTCCCCAAGGCAGGGGAAGGAACCAAAGCTTAGGAAACATGATGGTGGCCACAGTTCAAAGAGCACATGGCCACACCAGAGTTTAGTAAAGCAATGGCAAATGGAGAATGGGAAGGGAGAGGAAGAGGGATGGGGATGGGGAAGGGGATGGGGAGGAGGAGGGAGAAATGGAGGAGGGGAGGGAAGGGATGGAGAGGGGAAGAGGGGAGAGGAGAGGAGAGGAGGGGGGGAGAGAGAGAGAGAGAGAGAGAGAGAGAGAGAGAGAGAGAATGAGAGAGAATGAGAATGAGAGAGGGAGAGGAGAGTCACCTCCCAAGGTCCCAAGGTAGGGGAGGAGGCTAAAGCTTAGGAAAACATGGCCTGGCCATAGCTCCAAGAACATATGACCAGACCATAGCTTAGCAAGGCAATGGTGAGTCTATGTCTTTAGTTTTTTAAAAATTTAAATTAATCTTGAAATTTTCTTCCTGATTTAATTGTCTTATTTGTTTTTGACAGATGACCAGTGAAATTAAAAAAAAAGGAGTGAGTTCAATTTTTTTATATTTCTTGTTTTGAAAATGTTCAGAGAAATTATTACAAAGTAGTTCCTTCTAAGACCACCTGCTAACTCCCATTCTAGAAAAGAAAGTAATTTAGAAACTGAAATTTTTACATTTTCTTCCCAAGGGAACAAGCATGTCATGGACATTATGGGTCTTAAGAATTAAATTGTTTTTGCCATTCATTATTTGAGAATTAATTGGGTAGATATTTTCATTTTTTCCCCAAAAAACTGAAAAATATATTCAAAGTGGCAGTTATAAAGGAAATGCATCTCTCTTTTTTGTTAGGGTGATAATTGATTATTCTAGTATTGATATAGTGATGATTATTTATCTACTCAACAAATACCTATCAAAAATCTATTATATGCTAGCCACTTGCTAGGTACTAGAGTTTTTTTTAAAAGACACTGATGGCTGGGTATGGTGGTTCACACCTGTAATCCCAGCATTTTGGGAGGCCAAGAGAGGAGAATTGACTTGAGCTCAGGAGTGGAGACTAGCCTGGGCAACATAGCGAGACCTTGTCTCTACAAAAAAATTTAAAAATTAACTGGCCATGGTGGTGCCTGCCTGTAGTCCCAGCTACTCAGAAGGCTGAGGCAGAGAACTTCGTCACCTGAGCCCATGAGGTTGAAGTTGCAGTGAGCCATGATTGTGCCACTTGCACTTCAGCCTGGATGACAGAGTGAGACTCTGTCTCAAAAAAAAGGAACACTGACAGCACGAGTGACTACGTGGGATTATGATGTGATTGGTAGAAAGATGACAATATTTAAAATGTCTTTACTAGCAAAGGATACAGAAATTTATAGAGCTGGTTACACAAAAGAGGAAATTATGTAACATGTCAAATTCTCTTTGGGGATGGGGTCTGGATGATACTTCTCTGTGGATTGAGAATATTTGGAAGAAACTCTTTTTTCGCTTTTTTAAAGTTTTTGTTTTTGTTTTTGTTTTTTGAGTTGGAGTCTCACTCTGTCACCCGGTGCACCCTCATGGCCACTGCAGCCTCAACCTGCTGGGCTTAGGTGATCCTTCCGCCTCAGCCTTCCAAGTAGCTCGAACTACAGACTCACACCAGCACACCTAGCTATGTGTTTGTTTTTTTTTAAGTCCTTCGTCTTTCTCACGTGGCCTCCCAACTTTTCTAGAGACTTTGGATATGGATCTGCCTCTTTACTAGGTTTAAGAACTGATACAAAACAACCCTGAAACATTAATAAATATTTAATATATGGATGGGTAAACTGCAAGATGTATTTGTGTATATGTGTTTGACATTCTCACTGTTCCTAGCCAGACATGAAAATAGTCTGAGCTCACCGCCCTTAGCAGTATGGCTTCTACAAACTCCACCACTTCATCATCATTGTCACCAGGGACTATTAATCACCAAATTCAAAGGATATTTTTTCAATACTTCTCTCACTTGGACTTCTACTTGACTGTTTATTTTTATTTTTTTTTGAGTTGGAGTCTCACCCTGTTGCCGAGACTGGAGCAGTGGTACGCTCACAGCCACCTACTGGGTTCTAGGGATCCTTCCACCTCAGCCTTCCAAGTTGGCAAACTACAGGCGCGCTACCACGCCCAGCTAATTTTTTGATTTATTGTAGAGATGAGGTCTCGCCAAGTTGCCCTGGCTGGTTTCAAACCCATGGGCTCACCTTGGCTTCCCAAAGTGCTTGGATTACAGGCTTGAGCCACTGTGCCCGGCCTCTACTTGACTTTTTAAAAAAACTTTTTACTTTGGAATAATTGGATACTTGAATCAGTAGAACAGAATACAGAACCCAGAAATAGACTCCCACAAATATAGCCAACTGATTTTTTTCTTTTTCTTTTTTTTGAGATGAGGCCTCACTATGTTGCCCTGGTTGAAATTGAAGTCCTGGACTTAAGTGATATTCTATCCTCAGCCTTCCAAAAAGCTTGGATTACAGATACATGCCACCATGCCTAAGTTGAAAAGTCATTCAATGGAGGAAGAATAGTTTTCCTAACAAATGGGGGAAGGCCATTGGATATCCATAAAACAAACAAAAACTTCAGCCTAAACCTCATTTTTTTGTACAAAAACGAACTAAAAATTGATCACAGGTTTAAATGTAAAGTGTAAAATTAAAAAAAAAAAAATTTTGACGAAGACTTAGAGGAAACATAAATTATAAAACTTTTAGAAGAAAAGCTAGGGCTAGGCAAATTGTTCTTAGGCATGACCTCAAAAGCATAATCCATAAAATTAAAAAAATAAAAAAAAATTGGATTTCATAAAAGTTAAAAACTATAGCTCAGTGAAAGACCTTGTTAAGAGGGTGAAAAAACAAGCTACACACTGGGAGAAATATTTATAAACCACATATCCAACAAAGGACTTGTATCTGGAATATGTAAAGAAGTCTTAAGATTCAATGGTATGAAAACAAAAAATCCAGTTAGAAGTTGAGTAAAAGATGTGAACAGACATTTTACTATAGAGGATATATGGATGGCAAGTAAGCACATGAAAGATACTCAACATCATTAACCATTAGGATAACACAAATTAAAACCATGATGAGTTCTCACTACATACCTATTAGAATGGCTGAAATAAAAGAGTGAAAATTTCAGCCTACTTTTGACAACACTGACAATTTATTTCCTTTCTAATGTTCACTTTATTCTTCTGGCTCTATTATTTCTCTGTCATCTTTGTGGGATTTTCTTCCTTGCCTGGCTGTAACCACTGTTCTCTTTCCTTGAATCACCCTGGTAATTCTCTTTTTCTGGTTTCAACTACCTTCTATATGTTGATGACTCACAGAGATTTTTATGCACAAATATCTCAAATTCAACATATCAGAAAAAGTACCCATCAGCTCCTTCTGTAAGACTCCTCTTCCTCATTCTTTATTCTAGTTGTTATCACCATCTGTGCTGCTGCTTGTACTTAAAATATTTGAGTCTTAACTTCTCTTTTTCCCTCCCCACTATCTTCCTGCCATATAGTTAGCCCCCAAGAACTCTGAGTAGTTCTCAAGTTAGTCCTCTTCTTGTCCTGTCCTTAGATCAGAACTTCATCTCTTTTCTTGACTACAGCAGCCATCAGTGCCTTCCAAAATGTATAGAATTACAGTTTAACATGGGATGCAAGACGCTTGCCTACCCTTCAGCCTCTTCTCTCACCACTCTCTGTATCATACATACATGCTCCATCAACATGGATTTGCTTATTATTCCTTGAGGGAATATGACATTTCTCACATCACTGCATTGGGTCAAGCATGTCCTTCACCATGTATGCTTCCTATTATCCGGCTGTCCCTAATTCAGCTCAGTCATCACTCCCCAGGAAGTCTTTCTCTATTCCTATGGGTTTGGATAGATATCTTCCTCTTTGCTCCCGTTATGCCTGTTCATTTTTATTATTTTACTTAGCACATTGTATTAGGTATTATGTTTATCTTTTAAAACAATATTGTCATAATCTATCATAGGAGTAGAAAAAAAGCAACAAAAAAAAACCAAAAAACAAACTCAAACAAAACAAACCACCCATAATATTACCTATTTCCTATGAGAAAAAATTGTCTATTAAATGATCATTTCCCACCGAGCTCGGTGGCTCAGCCTGTAATCCCGCGCTTTGGGAGGCCGAGGTGAGTGAATTGCCTGAGCCCGCGGGTTCAAGACCCGCCTGGGCAACTTAGCGAGACCTCATCTTTACAATAAATCAAAAAAATTAGCTGGGCATGGTAGTGCGCCCCTGTAGTTCCAGCTACTTGGAAGGCTGAGGCAGAAGGATTGCTGGAGCCTAGCAGGTCGAGGCTGCAGTGGCCGGGAGCGGCCGTTGAACTCCAGTCTGGGTGACTGTTGAGACTCCAACTCAAAAAATAATAAATAAATAAGTAAATGATCATTTCCCATGTTTGTGTTGTGTTTGAAATAAAAGGCCAGGTGTAGTGACTCATTCCTGTAATCCCAGCACTTTGGGAAGCCGAAGTGAGAGGATTGCCTGAGCCCTCACGGGTTCGAGACCAGCCTAGGGAATTTGGTGAGACCTCATCTCTACAATAAATCAAAAAATTAGCCAGGTGTGTTGGCGCACCTGTAGTTCCAGCTACTTAGAAGACTGAGGCAGAAGGATCACCTGAGCTGAGCAGGTTGAGGCTGCGGTGGCCATGAGCGTGCCACTCACACTCCAACCTGGGCAACAGAGTTAGACTTCGACTCAAAAAAGAAATTAAAAAATGAGAGAAAAAAAAAAAGATCTATTTCCTACTCTTTAGGCTAGGAATTGCTTCTTTGTTTTGAGCTAGGATCTGACTCTGTCACCCAGGCTGAAGTGCAGTGGCATGATCATGGCTCACCGCAGCCTCAACCCTCTGGACTCAGGCAATTTTTTTTTTTGAGTTGGAGTCTCACTCTGTCGCCCAGACTGGAGTGCAGTGGCCGCTCCCGGCCACCGCAGCCTCGACCTGCTGGGCTCCGGCGATCCTTCTGCCTCAGCCTTCCAAGTAGCTGGAACTACGGGCGTGCGCTACCACGCCCGGCTGATTTTGTTGTTGTTGTTGTTGTTGATTTATTGTAGAGATGAGGTCTCGCTGCCCAGGCAGGTCTCGAACCCACGGGCTCAGGCAATCCACTCACCTCAGCCTCCCAAAGGCGCGGGATTATAGGCTGAGCCACCGAGCCCGGCTCTCAGGCAATCTTTTTGCCTCAATCTCCCAAGTAGCTAGGACTACAGGCATGCACCCACGCCCAGTTAATTTTTAAAATTTTTTTGTAGAGACAGTGTGTTGATAAGTTAACTTGGCTGGTCTTGAATTCCTGGGCTCAAGCAATCCTCCTACCTCAGCCTTGAAAAGTGCTCAGCCAGGAATTGCTTCTTAATCAACAGCTGTGATATTGAATACAAATAGTAGGTACTCAACAAATGATTGATGAATGAATAAATAAAAACACTTATAGTTCAGTAAAATATAACAGCTGCTA